ATCAAAACCCCAGGGCGAAACCTATCTGGCTGGTGGAGGAAGGCTCTTTTGAAAGTGCTCCACTTTCTGAGCCATAATTAGCCTTCTTGGTGGTGCTGAAGGCTGAGCAGATGTCAACACAGCCTCCAGCTCATGTCAACTGGATGGGGAAGAAGCAGATCCAAGCTCCTGGAGAGGAGGGCACTCCTCGCAGTTCCAATGAGGTCATCGTAGGATGAAAAGAGGAAGCCCCGTGTGCTACTGTAGAGAATAGAAACTTGAAACTTAGGTGCTAAGAGGGAGCAGATAAAATACAAACAGCCTCAAGAAGGAGCGAGCAAAGCTCATGCTGACAGATTCAGCTCTGGGGACATTCCTGACACCCATAGCAGCAGGGACAACAAGTCTCCCACCTCATCACAGTCCCTACCCACCCGTGTCTCCCGCCAGAACCCAGAGGCCTTCGCCAGAGAAAGGCCTCTAGGAGGACAGGCCTTTCCCCCGACTCTCTGGGTCGCTCTGCTCATACTTGGTGTCATCCGTAGATGATGTAGCTGTAAAGTTGCGATTTTGCTTTAAAGACATTCTGCAATAGAGGCTTCAGAATGAGTCGAAGTCTCTCTCAACATGTGACAGGAAGGAACATATGTTCCTAATCTGTGGGTTTAAAATTGTTTCAGAATTACATCAATGAGACTTATCCTCCAAAGAAAAACCGGGCCACCAACGCCAGCACAAGAGCCTGCGGGCCCTGAAGGGTAGTTCTGCTTTCAGGCCTACGTCTCACAACACATGGGTCAAAATGCTTCTAAAGTAGACTCTCCTGCGGAGCCTAAAAAGCAAAATAAATTAATAATAAATAAAATTTTAAAGTTTTAAATGAATTTCAAAAACAAATAGGGGCCTTGGAAACCAAGGGGGGTTGGTTTCTCGACCAGAGGTGTGTCCTGCTCAGAGCAAGTTCCCAAGCAGAATGCAAACATTAGGTTCTCCATGCTGAGTGGCAAGGTAGGGAAGGTCAGGATCAGAAAACTGCCAACGGACCTCAAGAAGGGGTCCCTTCCCGTGGGTGGGGGTGGGGTGTAGTTCAGCCCTGGGGCATCTGCCTGGCATTCACCCCCTCACACAGCAAAAAAAAAAAGAAAAAGAAAAAGAAAGAAAAACAGAGGGAAGGAAAGAAAAGGAAGGAAGGAAGGATAACAGGGCAGGTATCGTGAATAGTTTGGGCAGCTGCGGCAGGAGGTGAATTATGAAAATCATGATAGTTCGCCAGATGAGTGAAGGCGGGGAATGTAGGAGGGTGCTGTAGCAGGGGCTGGGGCTGGGGCTCAGGGGTAGAGCGCTTGCCTAGCATGGGTGAGGCACTGGGTTCGATTCTCAGCACCACATACAAATCAACAACTAATAATAAAAAAAAAGAATACTGGACCAAAGGAAAAGATAAATAGATTATGAGAAGGGTTAAGAAATGGAAAGAAGAGTCCCAGACTGTGACCAAGGCTGGTAGATCAGGATTGCCTGACACCTGGGCTGTGACCCACAAAGCCTTCACGTGCGTTCTGCTGCTGTTTCACAACGTCATGAGGCGGGCAGGAAAGTACTCATCTCCCCTGTCTCCGGACACTGAGGCCCACAGGAGACTCCAGTGCCCCAGCTCAAGACCAACAGCTGGCGATCTCCTTGACTCTGAACTCCGAGTTGCTTTTTCTCATTGTACGTCAGGGTTCCTGACTCTCCTTAAATCATTAGAAGGAAAACTGGGATAAGAAGTGTTTCATACTTTCCCCTCTTATAAATCTATTATGCAAAAATAAACAGGTTCCAAATGTCTTTCTCCCATGGGGAGATGTAATCAAGCCATCAGAAGAGAAAGAACTCATGGAGATGATGTATCCGGATTCTGAAGTGATACCATAATTCCCCTCCCGCCCCGTCACCGTCTCTGTCAGGGGCAAGTGGAAGGGCCTTCCAGGAGGCTGGAGGGAAATACTCGGTGCTTTCATGCTCCGTTTCTTTCATTAAAGACAAAATGGGGGACAAAAATGCCTTACTCCATTTGGGGACCTGCCACAGGGACCACCGAGGATTTGAAGTCTCTCTGTGACATCAAGGTAGAGTTACTAACCTAGCTGAAGACACCAGGTGGAAGGAACAGGGGTTGCAAAATGTACCATACAGAAGGAAAGGAATTATGGAGACCACAATCTTGATTCAAAACCTACGATCGACTTAGGAAGGCAAGTGTCTCTGGGCGGGGAGTGCTAGATGATTCTGTGCAAGACTAGGCTGAGCACTTATCCCCTTCCCAGGGATTAGTCCCTAATGTTTTTCAGACTTTTTTGTTTGTGTTTGAGTAGAGTTGGGTAATAGCAGATCTATTTTCTAGCTCCACTTAAGGTAGGAAACTAGGAATAAGGCTTAAACGAAACTAAGAAAACACTGTCTCAGAACTGTCCAGTCTTCACAATCAGGCGAATCTTGATGATACCGAGGCAAAAGATGCTTCCGTCCAACTAATTTCTCTGCCTTGTCCCGAGACAGTGCCTGCAAGGTCCAAAGCCATTGTTTTCTCAGGCACGAAAAACAGTTAAAATCCTATCAGGGCAGGAAATTGAAAAATTCCCTTCTTAGGAGCCGGTCAGGCTGAGAATTAGGTGAGAGAAAAGGCCTGTAGCTGGGGGAATGAGGTTGGTCCTCCTGCTGTCATAATCCTATTAGCTCCCAGCAGACCTTTATCTGGTGGGGAAGGGAGCAGCTGGGTAGGTAAAGGGTCTCTGATCCTAAGTGCCACTTAACTACACAGGTAAACTATCCGGGAGCTGTGAGCTCATCAGCATAATCAAACGCGGGGCAGGAGGGCCCTCCAAGGAGCCCACTTCCCACCAGCCTGGTGTTTCCTAAACAGTACTTTAAGAGATGCTCCTAGGAGACAGATGGGGGCCTCACTTTCCCTGAGTGGAAGCAATTTCCTCTGTGCTCTAGAAACCCTTCCTGCCCAGGGTGAGTCTCAAGTCTGGTGTGCACCTGCGTAGGCTGAGTTCAGGTTCACTCTCACAGGTAATTACTACCCACCTCAAGAAGTCCTTGGGCTAACAAAGGATGCTGAGACGACGGCTCTTCATTAGCCAAGAAAATGAAATAGAAACTCTCGTGAGCAGGGCACTCATTGGCTGGCGCCAGCGCGGTCCCCTGTGGACAGGCCAGCTAGATGGATGAGTGTGCTTTTTTGTCTGGTTGTTCTATCGTGTACTGACAGACATGTGAAAAATCTCTCACCAGCTTAGACAGAGAGATTCATGTGGTTGTGGAGACTTAAACTCTGGACGGCTCTGAGAGTAATTCTTATTTCTAAGTTAGCATTTTCTTAGTTCAGTTTAAGCCTTGTTTCCTTGCTCTCTGAATTAGGTGAAGCTTAAAAGTAGTTGTATTACTCAAAAAAAAAAATAACTTTACTCAAAAAATTAAAAAGGTGTATGATCTTAAGATAAACCAACAAGCCGAATTAACAAAATCATGGATTTATTTATTAGTCCCTTAAATTAGTCAATATTTCTGCATGTATCTTAGGCTCTATTACTAGGCGTATATAGCTCATGACTGTTGTATGTCCCTGGAGAACAGCCCTTTTACTTCTGGTAATACTTATCATCTTGAGTCTCTTTGTCTTAAGTTTACATGGCCACTCCAGCCTTCTAAGGTGTAGTGTTTGTTTGACATATTTATCCCATCTTTTGAATCTATTTTTTTTGGGGGGGTACTGTGTATTGAACCCAGAGGTGCATAACCACTGAACCACATCCCCTGCCCCTTTTATTTTTTATTTGAAGAGAGGGTTTCATTAAGTTGCTTAGGGCCTTGCTAAATACCAGGCTGGCCTCAAAGTTGCAACCCTCCTGCCTCAATCTCCTGAGCTGCTGGATTATAGGGATGCACCCTGCATCCGGCCATCTTTTTTAAAATTTGAACCCATTTTTAATTGTATTTAAAGGCAGAATATAGTTGGAGTTTTCATTTTTCTCCAGTCTAAGATTCTGTGCCTCTGAATTAGAGTACTTAGTCCATTTATTAAATATAAATGTAATTCACAAATTTATACGTAATGTTAATTTATATCCAAAATTTACTTATTGATGTGGTTGGTTTTAAGTCTGATGCTCTGTTTTCTGTTGGAGATACATATATATATATATATATATATTTTTACTCTGCTTCTTTTTTCTTACCTTCTCTATAAATTAAATATTCTTTTGAATTCCATCCTTAATTTTATTCTGCCTTTTAAAGCTGTGTCTCTGTGTTTCTTTTTCTGAAAGAACTAATGGGATTTTTTCAAGGAACAAAAACAAATACCCTAACACCCTCTGCCTCAGGATCCAAATCAATATATTAAATGATGTGCACTTGTCGCCTTACATCCACAGCTTTGCCTTCTGAGATTTCGGGTACCCTGACTCAACAGCAGTCTAAGAATATTAAATGGAAAATTCCAGAAATAAGTAACCCAAACATTTTAAATAACTTTTATTATAGCATCTTGTTACAATTGTTCTATTTTATTATTAATTATTGTTAATCCCTCACTGTGTCTAATCTACTTATTGAACTTTATTACAGTTTTGTGGGTATGTCTAGGGAAAACGGCATATATAGGATTCAGAACTATTCCCACTTCAGGAATCTCTGGGGCCCGCTGTAACTGGTTACCAAGGAGAATCGGGAATTCCAGCCCCCCCAAGTCCTTAAGTATGGGGAGACAGTTCTTCTAATCTTCTTGGTCCTTCTATGATTCTACATAGTAAAGAATATAGGGGAGGGGCTGGGGTTGTGGTTCAGTGGTAGAGCGCTCAGTGAGATGCTGGGTTTGATCCTCAGCACCACATAAAAATAAATAAGTGAAATAAAGGTTAAAAAAAAGAATATAGGGGAGTTTCTCTCTTTCTTTTTTCTTTGTGTGTTTTTTTTTTTCCCTTGATGAATTATCACTGGGATCTGAGGAAAAACCTAGCATAGAAAATATTTATTGAATGGCACCCCATCAAGCTTTCTGTCCTGAGGAAAACATAATTATTGGGTAAAATAATAAGGTCACTTTCAACTTTCAAAATATCCATGATTATTTTGCAAATCTATATATTCACAGGGGAATTTCTTTAAGCAATCTTTACCGAAACCCTAAGTCCCTGGCCCTTCCTGGCTTGAACCCTAAGAACTCCGATTTCTGCACTTCTGTGCTCCCTCGTGGCTCTTGCATGAACTCCCTCTCTCCTCATGCAGGACTGTAATCCGTTCTCTGAAAATATGCTTGAAACCAAGTCCCTGGCCTGGAGAGAACAGAACGAGGAAATGAAATCTAAGGCTTGTGCAGAGCGCCCTCTTGAGGCTGCCTTTGTAAATACGCCAAAGATTGTGCTATGAATTCATTGCAACAGTTCCAGGGTAGGGGGCTAATACAAATCAATCCCAGAAGATATACTGGCTAAATTATGGATGTAAGCATCTTCTTACTAGAAATAGATTGTATCTCCCAAAATTCAACATAATGTATATCAGAAAAAAAAACCCAGTGCCTGACTAAATGCGTCCCTTACAATAAAACACAAACGTGGTTCCAGTTTTGACATCCCTGTTAGTTTTAGATATCGTCTCTTGGTGTGAAGAGAAAAGGGCAAGCCTTCTCCAGAGACAGGTGGTAGCTGTGGGGATGTCACACAGTGGTGGAGGGACAGCCTGCTAGGTCAGAGGACCGCGTTGCCTGTCGATTCCGCCACCTGGAAGCTGCGTGATCCTGAAGTTTTTCAGCCCCTCAGAGTCGCGTGCAGAATGGGGGCGATGAGAGAGTGACGTCAGAGGGTTGGGAAGAGGCTGAACCCTCTTTACAGGCACACACAGCCGATGGCACGGGGTAGGGTGCAGAGGAACTCAAGTGCCTGGTGCCATTAATATCACCTACACTTACAAGATTCTTTGGGGACGGGCAGGTGGGACATTGTTTTGTTTAAACCACTGAATCAACTTCTTGTGTCCCTGATTACTGTGCCCTTTCAACATCAGGCGGATGATCTCTTTTCCCTAGATTTTTCACCATCATTCTGGCTGTCATCTGTCTAATTAAAACAATAGCAACTTCCCTCAGGTGACCTGCATGCCGTACTTGAACAGCGAGGTCACAGTTCCTCCAAAGGTACCAGCATAGTCTGGGATGTGGGGTCCCCTCAGAGCCCCTCCAGCCCCTCCTGGCACAGAGGAGGGGTGACGCTCACTCTTTGGTAAATGGCGCCCCAGAAGGTTCTTGTGGGGAACCTCTTCAGTGAGCTCTGCGTCTTCGGTTTTGTCAGTACTCATTGGCTTAGGTCTCCACCTCTGCCCACGTATTCAAACGGAAAACCTGGCAAGGAACTGAGGGCAAGTCTTCAGGACTTGAATGATCTTGGAGAAACAAGAAGGAAGAAAGAGGCAGGCGGATGGTGGCCTTTGTGTCTAAAGGAGGAGACGGTGGGTGTTGGAAACATCCCAGGAGGCAGCCACACTGGAGAATGGAGGTAACGATGGGGTGGGGGAGAGCCTGGGGGAGCCTGGAAGAGGCCTGGGCCCTTCCACAGTTGGCCCGACCTGGGGAGCCTCGGGGCCCACAGAGCTGCGGGACGAACCCCGAGATCCTCCTGGAACCTCAACTTTATTTGAAGACTGGGAGGAGGTGCAGTCAGGAGTGTACAAGCTTGAGACAGCACACCTACTGTAGGGAGGAATGGAGGGCAAAGCTGGCCACGGCTTGATGATCGCCAGGACTTCTGTGACAAAACAGGCATCGCATGCTTGTGACAAGCCACCGCTGTGCCCTTGGCCCAAAGGATGGGGATTTATTCTTTCTCTTTTGCCTTTAGGAGTGTCTGGTGGAGGGAAGGCTGAGGCTCAGTGGTACAGAGCTTGCCTGGAAGGTATGAGGCACTGGGTTCACTTCTCAGTACTGCATAAAACTAAATAAATAAAATAAAGGTCCATCGATTCTGAGAGCACTGGACATGGCCCCACACGGGGAATCCAGACTCGTGTCCTCCCAGCTTGAGAGCCACCGACACTTCTGCCAACTGTCCCTCACAGGGCTCTGCAGATGAGCCTTGGAGGTGTGTCACGCCACCAGGCCAAACTGGGGCAGAGCACCCAGGGTTGGCTCTTTCCTGTTACGATGAGCTACGACAGCAGACAGTCTGTTTTCCCACCTGCCCCTCAAGACCAGGGAAGGCCTGGGACCATGCCTCGGGGGAAAACAGAAGACACGTGTCCCGTTTCCCAATGGCTTCCCCATGACATCCTCTTACATCCTGATGGGCCCAGGATAGAAAACTTAAATGGAAAGTGATGCAGGAGGCTTTGAAGGTCAGGAGCAGTTCCCCAAACTTGCATTTCCATTTGGGCCTTTGTCACTGCGGGTCACGGCTACAGCAAGCTGCCTTCAGTAGGGCTGCTAGTGAATCCTGGGGAAATATCTGCAGTCTCATGAGGAAGAGATGATTATGTGTGTGTGTGTGTGTGTGTGTGTGTGTGTGTGAGAGAGAGAGAGAGAGAGAGGGGGGTTGGGGAGGAAGATGTATTCTGCAGGAAAATCACGAGTTAGTTTTTTTAAAAAATTCCTTTCAATAATTACAGCTCACATCCTGTGACATAGGCAAATGTAACAATCCCCGTTTTCTGGTAATGAAATGGCACGACCCATGTGACATGAGTGTCCTTCCTAAGGATAATGTTCCTGACCCCACAGAGCTTACTCAGGTCAGACTCCACTTAAAGTCAGGAGAAATCTATTTTGAGAGCAAAGATTTCCGATCAAAATCCTTTTTCAATTTGTAAGTTTTTAGAAGGGAATTTTGTTTTAAAAATCGGGTGTATTATTCTCTCACAGATCACTGGGATCACAGGGAGACCTGGGTCTTGTCGGGGCACAGTGCGTGTTCTGCCCACATTGTGACCGGGAGGACCGAGGACGCCGTGGAGAGGAGGGGGTCAGACTGCAGAGAAGTCAGCAGAAGCCACGGTGACCAAGACATCCTTTCCCTGAGAAGGAGGACGAGCCCAGTGTGAGAGGAAATGCTCGGTGGCTGGCTAATGTCAGTGGCACCAGGACTCAGGCCAAGCATCGTGGTCAGATGCTGCTGGAGTCAAGTCAGAGATCCAGAAGCTTCCAGCCCGTCCCTAGAGCCTCCCAGAGCAGATGAGGCTGCCTATGTGCTGCCCGCAGGCCCTCAGTGTTCAGCGAGAGGGATCCTGCTCCCTCCTTGTGCTGCTTTCTGGTTCTCCTTTGGAGATCTGAAGTGGTCAGACAGCTCCAGGCTGGGCCTGCATGCCTGACCCTCTCCTTTTCTCTTCTGTCCATCTGTCCTGGCTCTTACGAGGGTCTGGCCAGGTCCACCATGGCGTCATCTCCAGGCCACCAGCTCTGTGCTAAGGCTCAGTCTAACACAGCCTCTAGGTCACCCCCGCGAAGACTCCCTTCTCTGCCTCCACCTACAGACTGACCAGTGGACCCGCAGTCCTTTTTGCTGCCATTCCCCTGGCTCTTCAAGACCCCCAGACGACCACTGTGCGCTCCTTTGCCTTGAAGACCACTTCCTCTAACTCAGAAAATGGCGCAGGCCCAGCCCGTCAGGAATCACCTCTGACTCCTTCCCCCAGGACCTCCAAATCCTGCCCTCAGGAAGTCCTTCGGAGGCACCCTCTCTCACATCTACCTTTGTCCTCTGGGGCAGCAACCTCGACTTGTGGGAAGAGCCTCTAGCTGGCCTCCCTACCTCCACCATCTTTTCTCCCCAGGGCAGCAGAAGTGGCGGGATGAAAGCCATAATGACCTCTCTCTCCTTTAACCCTCGCTGGGGCTGCTCCTCCCACCCACAAATGAATACAGACTTTGTGTCTCAGCCAGGATGTCACCTCTGTAGGGTTTTTCCTTGGCGACACTTTTCATTCCCACTCGCACAATGTCACCCCAATGAGTCTCCTTCGGCCTCTGGTTTGCTAAGGTCATTGTACTTCTTAAACCTTCAAGTGACTTTATCCATTCGTTTGCCACTTTCTGGGTGACAGCACAGAGCACGTGTGCTGCTCCTGGATTTCAACAAAGGTTCCAAACGCACACGGGGTCCGGGCTTGCTTGTCATTACTGTCCCCCAGGGCCTCCCAACAAACTGGCCGAAGGTGGAACACATGTTCCAACTGGTACTTGGGTTTTGTCCTGCCCCTCAGGCACCCCACACACACCCCCATCACCTCAGGAGACGCTCCCACCAGCAGTGAGGGCAGCAAGGTCACCCCTCCTCCCGGAGTCCCCGAGGTTCCAGGTTCCTGACTCCCCAGCCCCTCCCTCGAGAATGGCAGCAGTGAAAGCCTGAGGTGGAACTGCTGGCTGCACTTCTGTCCAGCTAAGGGCGGTCAGGATGCAGGACAGGTTAGGAGCAACCCGGAGGCAGGAGGCTGGGCCACCACAGAGAGATCCAGGACACCTGGGTCTGACCCTTGTCCACTAAAGCCAGTCTCCTTGCCCAGGCTGCCCAAGTTCCTGGCGTCCCGGGGGGGAAGGAGCGGGTTAGTCCTGGCTGGGAACTTCCTTCACCCGACCCCTGGCCTGGCTCCGAGCCACAGAGCTACGCTCCCGTGTTCACAGAGGTGACCCTGGACGGGGAGGGAGATGGGCGGTGCACGGAGGTGAAGTTCAACTCCACCTCTTCAACCAGGGGTGACAAGTTACCTACCTTTCTAAATTCTGCCAGCAGATGAGAGGGTACACTTCACAGAGAGGTGGTGGGCAGTAAGAAAATACCTCTACAGTGCTCAGACGGTGCCTGGCACGTGATGACCAAGAGCGTGTGTCACTACTGAGTGTGTGGGAGGGGGCGGAAGAGCTGGGTGCCTTCTTCCACAGGAAACCCTGCAAGCCCCGTGCCCACCACCTGCAGCCTGCTCCTGCAGGAGGCTGGTCTTGCCTAGGCAGTTGCCCTAGGTGGTCCCCCAACCCCCTCACTAGCCAGCTACTGTCTCAGTGACCAACCATGTGGCCATCAACCGGGAGAGTTTTCTAACCTGGCCAAGGCCCTCTGGACTTTCACTCAGAACTTCGGAAAGACCAGCAACTTCCCCAGGTCAGGAGCTGGGAGAGCCGAGGAGCAAGCTGACCTGCTGCACCCACACTCTTGACAAAGACAAGGACTGGGTCACCATCGGGTTTCGTCAGGAAGCAAATGCCTGGCATTCGCTGGTGAAGGTGGAAGATGCCCCAGTCGGGCTGCTGCTGACACAGCGGACTCGGGACTCGGCTTGGGCCCCTCTCTTGTCCACTTCCTGCTGCCCAAACATTTCTCTTCACACTAGGATTAACAGAGATGGGAAGAAAACTCGACAGGCAAACCAGCATTTCTTTCTTTCTTTCTTTTTTTTTTTTTTTCTTTTTTGGATATTGACTAAAAGCAATCCTTTGAGGATTGTGAAAGCCTGTGATCTTCCTAGTCCCTGGGAACAGGCTTCGTTCAGTGAAAGAAGGTGGCTGTGGCCTCCGCAGGTAAGAGGAGCCATACTTAGGTGCAGACTGTGCACAATCACCTCCTCACGCTCAGCTGCAAAGGGAAGCAGCTGCAGGGATGCGGGGAGCTGGGGACATGGCCTCTGCCCAATGCACGCATTGACGCTCTGATGGCTGGCTGAGAAAAAGCATCCTCCTCTGTCATCAGAGACCACCCAGTCTTGGTGACACAGCACCGAGAGTAATCTGGCTCGAATGGAAAGATCATGAGCACCTATGGCCTGAAATGGTCACTGATGCCCTGAAGATTGGCCTCAAGAGACCTGCTGGGGCCTTGTGTCCATGCAGTCAGGGCTCCAATCAGGGCTCCTTCCACGATGCTCTGAGCTGGGGGTCCCTGTCCTACCAGGCAACATCTGTCCCCTTGTGGTCAAGGGCCCTGCCACTCTTTAAGTAATAATAATAATGATGACGATAAGGATGATAATGGGTGAGCTCCTATGCCACCTTACAGCTCAACTTCTCAAAGTTCCTTGTAGGGCTGGGGCTGGGGCTCAGAGGTAGTGCGCTCACCTAGCAGGTGTGAGGCACTGGGTTCCATCCTCAGCACCACATAAAATAAAATAAAATATATATTTTTTTAAAAAGTCCTTGTATACAAGTAGAAATTATTAAATCCCTCAAATGAGAGATTGCTCTTGATGATTCTGCCTCAAAGACTCATAGCCATTGGTCATCGCTCACAGGGTGAGACCTGGAGACTTACTTAACCCCGGCTGACTAGAGAAAGCAGCAGTTTGTCATTTATCTTTGCAATTCTGCTGCAAGGTAAATTTTGGTAAAATACGTCTGAACTTTGGTAAAATACCACTGAAATTCAGGTCTCCTATGGAAAAAAAAATGTCTTATCACCAATCTTATTTTTATTTTTTGTGCTAGGGTCATACCCAGGCCCCATGGAGGCTGTGCTCATGCCCTACCACTGATGGTAGCCTCTTCTTCTAAATATCATAAAAATGGAATTAGAAATCAACGATGGAAAACTTAGGGAAATACATTCAATAAAAAGCAACTTTCTTCCTGAGTTTGATATTTTCCTCTATAGAATCCTTTCTCCGCTGGGCCCTTCCCAGGGGAGTCACGGTCAACAGTCCACTTCTCCATCAGAGCCTCCTTACTGCTGTACGGTAAAGACCACGGCATGGAGCCCACAGATGAGACTCGCATCCTGCCCTTGATGAACCCCAGCTGTGCACTGTCAAGTTCAGAGGCCGGAGACTAACTGCAGGGAAGTGACTTCCACACAAACCCTGCTGGGATGACCCATCCTTTAGACAAAATCCTCACTGTACTAACATTTGTCCCCAAATGACATTTGTCACCAGCCACGAGCTGAGCACTCCGTGGGTACCCACCTTATTTACTTCTCTCAGCAGTACCATTATCTCTCTCCATTCTGTGAAACAGGCTTAAGGAGTCTAAATGCACGGTCATGGAGCGAGTAAAGGCACAGATGCAACTGAGTCACCTCCAGGTGACTCCAAAGCCAGAACTCTCTCTGCTGGTCTACAGGCAAACACCCAGGACAGCAACAGCTTTCCCAGAAATGCACGGACTCAGCAAAGCTGCACGCGGGGGTGGGGGGTGGGGGTGGTGGCGATGGCAAAGAACACCCACACGCCAGAAACCACCCCATTGGGCCAAACACCAGGTTTAACTCACTCTCCATTCACTTTTTTCAAGCCATCAACCAGAGCTTACATCCCACATTTTCTGATCTGCACTCAAACGTCAGTGAGGTCTTTCCTGAGGGCGACAGATAAAATATTAACCCTGGCCTTCCCACCCTTCCTCTCTATGCCCCTTACCCCGGTTTACTCTGCTTTTAGCATGCACGCCCACCCAAGACACGACCTTCACGCTGTTATCCTTCCCTTCCCACTGGCTGGAAGCTCTGTGGAAGCCGAGATGAGGCAGCGCCTGGTCCACATGAGGCTGATCTTAAATGAACGCGTCAAATCTTAGAATGAACAGAACACTGGCCAGTAAAGCAGACAGCAGATGGAGAAAACCAAGGTCACCAGTTTGACACTCCTGCCCCTCTCGACCAGACGGTCCACCCCTGCTCCATCCCACAGGACTCTGTTCTGTCCCTGAGCTCCTCACTGCGTCCTGCTGTGCATCTGCCCACCTCCTGGTCTTTGCTCTGGGTTTCCTCACCTTGGAATCCTATACCCCTCCTCCCCACGTTCAAGGTTCAGCTTCACTGCCCGCTGTTCAGGACCCCACCTCCACCCCTCTCCTCCGCCTGCAGTTTCCCGTTGATTTCGTTTTGTCTCACAGAAGTTTGACACTGGCCTCCCAGCCGTCTCCAGGATAGGAGCTCTGTGCCTCCTCCAGTTTTTAATCCTCCTGCATGGCAAGCACAATTCTTTGTTTAGCAGGTACTTAGTGAATGTTCCCAAAATAAATGAGAGGCAGAGAGCAAGTGGTACCAGCCTCCCTGCTCCACGCGCCACGCTCCGAGGGTGCTCTTTGGAGGAAGCAGGATGGAGGGAACATCCAGAGCTCAATGAAACGGCTGATGAACCAAACCACTTTTAAATCTGGTCCTTCTAAACAGAACCATAAGGAAACATCCATTTGCTCTGATTGACTAATATTTTGGTGGTGTTAGATTCCAGATCAAAAGCTGAACTGAGACTGAGAAGCACCGGCATTTATTTCATTTTTTGGTTCTTAAAAATTAATGTAGCGAGGGTTGAAGATACGGAGTGCTCAATACAGACGGAGGAGACCATGCAAAGCCACTCGAGACCAGAGAGTCCAGAAGTAGATCAAATGCACTGAATCACCCATTTTTTTTTTTAACATTTTCTCCTTTTCTATGTTAAGTTTTGTTTTGTTTAATATTTTTTTTATTTGTCAACGGACCTTTGTTTATTTATGTGCAGTGCTGAGAATCAAGCCTAGTGCCTCTCACAAGCTGGGCAGGTGCTCTACCACTGAGCCACAACCCCAGCCCCTTAAGTTTTATTTTCATGTGGGTCTTGCAGAGTTGGAATAAGAATTAAATACCCATGTAATTGAAAAACAAACTTTTTCATTAAAATGAAAAATAATCAATGAATTTTGCAGTACTGGGGATTGAACCCAGGGGTGTCTCTACCAGTGAGCTACAATCTCAGCCCTTTCTATTTTTTATAATGCGACAGGATTTAAGTTGCTCAGGCTGGCCTTGAACTTGCAATCCTCCTGCCTCAGCCTCAGCTGGGATTACAGGTGTGCACCCCACACCCAGCTCTCCCAGGACCTGGTGTTTATTTGAGCCTTACAAATCTGAAGGTACGCAGTGAAATCAGCACATTGGGGACTAAATATTAAACATACGATGAGTAAACCAATATTCACATGATCTAGGTACTGCCAACTTGACGGCAATGACAGCTCTAGTCACAAGTGCTTCCCATGCTGCAGGTCTGGGCCAAGTTCTTTCCAGACAGTGCCACCCTGTGCATCCATTGACCCTCCT